GCTCAAGCAGCCGGACGGGGCCATCGCCCCGGCAGCCCTGACGCCACAGACTGAAGCGCTGGGAGGAGAGCAAGACTTCAGGAAGGTAAAGGCGTCCTCTGACAGGAGATTCCCCACAGGGCAGGCCCCAGCCCCAACCCACCATCTCCGAGGTATTTTTCCCAGGCAAGCTCCCGGGACTCTCACGCTCCCACCGGGAAGCAGCCCCGCAACCCCAGCTGCAAAGCTGCATCCAACAGAATGGGTGGCTCCGTCATCGGCAGCTCCCTGCCCAAGAGAAGGGATTTTAGGAAGACATACAAAGCCCTCTGCCCAACCCCCATCCTTTCAGGTGAAGGTCTTCGCAGAGCGCTTGCTCTCATACACAGCCCAGGGCAGTCTCCATTTATTGCTGCCTTATTTCCTCAACCCGCTCCGGCTGCACAGTTAATGACCCTTATTCTGTTCCTCTTAGCTCTGAGAAATCAGCAGTATGTAAATGTAACACTGTTTACGCATTAAGTCAGCAGCTGGGATTTTTGTATCCCCTGGTAACCTTGGCTTAAACGAACTTTCCAAGCGGCCATGCTTGTACACCAGCACTGTGAGAGCTTTAGCAGGTAGGAGGAGGCTCCCTAAAGCAGAGGAGTGCTTTGAGATTAATACCAGAAGTTAACTGGGGAGATAGATGCATGATCACTATCCAGCAGGGGTGAGGAGGGAATCCAGATCTGAAAAGACCTAAAAATATCATGTCTAAAAATTGCAGGGCTAGATACTACAGGCTTGCATGGGCAGTGTTGGGGTCCTGGTTTTTCCAAGGAGCTCTTTAACTGTGGTTCTTTTTCACTGCTGCACCCCTGCAGAAACTCAGCAAATGTCTTTAAAGGTTTTAAGATCTTCTTAGAGCCTGTGGTTTAGAAAAGCTTAGACATCAGTTAGACATCATTAGACTTAAACATCATTAATTTCCCAGGAAGTTAAATAGAGTCTTAAATAACACTTCTCAGTAGCTTAATCCCCAAAGGTAAGCATTTCTTTTCTTTTTTTACTGTTTTCCTTTGGAAGTAAAAGGCTTATCCCCTGACAATAAATATCAGGATCCCCCCTCCCCAAGTTAAAAATACTGCAGAGATATTAATTTATTGAGTGGCAATAGCCAAGCCCTTGCAGTTGCGTTCCAGCGCAAATACCTGCTCTGCCACCCCATGTTTCTACTTTTTATTACCCGTGTTTGTGCCCTTAAAACACAAGTTTGAAAGGATGGTCCTCAGATAAAGTCCACTTTCCTGCTAATTATAAACAACTGAGTCACCCTCATAAACGTATTTGTCAGGTTCCTTCTTGGAAACAGTGAGGACAGGCGGTTCAAGTGCAGTATCACTGATCTGGTGCTGCTGCCGTACTCGGCAAACATATTACCTTTAAGTTGATTTACATTAAATCAGTGGGCTCCATAGGAGAAGCTGGTTAACGCTGGTCGGAGCTGCCTCCGCATACCCACCCGCTGCCCACAGGAAGGAGAGAGGAGACATCAAGATGGGGAAATGGGGGTGTCTGGCTGAGAATACAACTTCCCGGGTGCAGCAGTGCTTAATCCTCCATTAGGAAGTGAGAAATGATCTGTGTCGCGGCCGTTTCGGCACTCGCCTTCTAGGTAAGTGTGAGATCACCCAAGACTGCCCTGAATATCTGCTGCTAGACACAGCTGTCACAAAGAATTAAGCTGTATCTGGAGACTAAATCCACCAACAGGATTTTTGCAGTTGATGATTGCAGAGAAATGCTTGTCTAGACTAATCTCCGGCTCTTTATGTTGAATCTGAGCAGGTTCAGCTTTCCCTGCCCCTCAGCATGTCTTCTAAATGTGAGGAAAGGACTTGTAACACCTCAGCTGTTCCCCAGGATGCTCCCTAAATTGCTGAGTTATTCTTTACCAGGATCAAACTAAAAAGCCCCCAAATCCTGCATCTAAGCAGTCCCAGTTCGGGTTACACCTCGGCCTTGAAAAAAATTTGCTAAAGCCATTTCGTGCCGAGGCATTGGTGACTTCTTCAGAGTTTTGAGTTTGCAGTGAAATAAGTCAAACTTGTTCTAGAGACGCCAACAGAAGATTTCTGGCATGCAGGTGCACCCTGCTGTGGCTTACCTCACAGAAATCAGCAGCAATATTGCTTTAAATGTTTCTCCTGGATATGCTGAGTCAGTCAGTCCCAGTCCAGAGAAGTCAGGGAGGTTTCCAGATGAAGAACGAGCTTCCTCTGCTTCATTGCCAACGCAGGCTGAAAGAACGGCGATGCTGATTGCTGCGAGGCAGCAGCACCCTTGTCCGCACCTGGAGCGGACATCAGTAACCCTGCCAGAGCAGCATCCTGGATTTACAGAGCTGGCTGTAACCTCAAGCTGGGTCTTGCAGACAGGCTCTTCCCCAGCGCAAGGAAGAGCTGCAGAAGGGTGATTACCAGCCACGTGAGGTGTCTGCAGGGCTTTTCCGATAGTCTCTTAGTCCCCTATCCAGCAAGCACAGGGTTTTACTCTGTAAACTGCTTTCTTAAAAAAAAAAAAAAAAAAAAAAAAAAAAAAAAAAGAAAAAAAAAAGAACAAGAACAGTTTCCCTGTAAATTCTATTTTCCATTGGAACAGAACAAAGCCACTTGTTTTGCTTCCTTGCCATTCTCCTCAGGTGGAAAGGGAAATTCACCTTCTGCCTCTTAGCATGGAAAAGAAATTGTTTCAAGTGAGCTTTGGCAAAACCCTCCATCTCTAATAGGTACCTACTAGCATGAAAATTTCGCAAGGAAATTTCTATCATTCCAGCATCAATACAGCCTTCTAGGGCTAAACAGAGAGCAGCAGAGTAAAGTAACGAGAAACTGAGTTTGAGAGAGACAATCTTGGGTGGTTTCATGCAGCTTCTTGCTTCCCTAGAGAGTTTTATGGCGTATCACCTACGGTAGCTAACGTAACTGCCCAGAAAGGATAGCAGCCTTGCTTCCAGGCCTACAAAGAGGCAAATGTAGCTGATTAATACTATAAGGAGCACCCTTACACTGTGCCACAGGATTTGTCTTTTTCCTGCTTAAAAAAAAATACAACTCACCCTCAACTAGCTGTTGTGCACAAACTGTGATCCTGCTCTTCATCACTGGGCTGTATGGGCTGGGGAAGAACATTTCACTGCTGGTTTTTAAGGGGATGAAAGCCCATCTCTTCGAGCAGAAAAACCACCTGCATCTAAAGATACAGACCCAGGTTTAGCCAGCATAGAGGTATGCTCTTAATGACAGCATGCTTTCATAACAGCTCAGAGAAGGGAGAAGAATTAAAGGTCGGGAGCCTGCCAGATTGCAGGGGGAAGACGGGCAAAATAAAGGAGACACGTAGGATGAGCAGTGCTCAGGAACAAGAGGCTTTTGTTAGATGAGGAAGCCACAGAGACCTTCCTGAGCCAGGAGCTACATTGCTAGTGCCGCTGTTAGGTGTATTCACAGAGGTGTTTTTTCTTGCTCACCTGCAAGTTCTGCACTCCTGCGAGCTCCACAGAAATTGCAGTAGTTGCAACAAATCTTCATTATAAGTCTTGCAGGCCCCTGGTCTCTGGCTGACCAGGGCTTTCTTCAAAAGCACATGGAGGGAAGGACCCCGTGCCAGCAGCCTTAACCCTGGCATGGGTCACTCTTCACCTGGCACACTGTAGCGGTGAGAGGGTCAGGACACACAGGCAGGGACCTGCAGCAAGGCACTAATATTTCAACACCCTTCAGAAGGCTGCTCTGCTGCCTTTGGGTGTTAGAAGATTAGATCCATGTGGAAGGCACATCCCATCTCTGCACACAGCAGGCTTGCTGGTGGCATATTTCCCCTTTGCTGCTGCATGAGGTAGGACAAGTGCATGCAAGGTCATCCCATGCCCTCTCATGCTCAGTTCAACACCCCATGATCTTCAAGCTCTGCCTGAATCTCCCTCTCTCTCCTCCATAGGTCTCCACGTGAACTGGGTGTTTTTAGAGGAGGAGCTCTGTAAGGAGGAGCTGGGGCAAAGCTTTGGCTGATTGCAAGACAGCGTTATTCCCTGCCCTACACTGACAGCAAGGCAGCATCACATCCTTGAGCTTAAGGCTTGGAGAAGTGGACCCGTGCCACCCAGGAGGTATCACGCCGACTGCCATCTTCCCAAGGTACAGCCAACGCTCTGCAGCAGCTCTCCGAGTCAGGCTTGAGGCGACCACCGTTGTTTTGGGCCATGCTCCCCCACCATCCCTGGTCACTAAGCAGCATAGCTCCACCCCTAGTGAGGCAGAGTCACATGCCGTGGTGCAACAGTCATGAGGGCATGAGACTTCACAGGCTTGGTCTGCAGGCGGTTGCTTAGTCCATGCTGTCTGCTTTGTATGCTGCTGTCCTCAATGGTGCTCGAGTCAGGTCCTCTGCTGCTTTCTCCCCTCTGGTGAGCAACACGTAGACTTGAAGCGGTGCTGCCACAAACCCCATTATCTCCTGAGGTGCCCAGCCATCCTCTGGGCTGTGTCCTTAGCAAGCTGGTAGCAGCATCACCTCTATGCCCGTGCTAGTCTCTCCTGGTATAACCTCTAACCAAGAGCTACAGTAAGCGTGGAACATCAGCCTAAGCTCTTCAGCACAACTTTGGGGAACGAGGAATGCTCAAGAGCAAGGCACACCCAAAAGTGATGTCCCTCTGCCATTAACTTTCTCCAGCATGTCCTCTCTTTAAAGGAGATATGTCTAATCCAGTCTCCTCGTCTACATCCAAGAAGGCCTCTTGCATCAAATTTCTTCCTAAACATCTCCACCCTCTGGTCATAACTCGCAGTGGCAGGTGATTTGATGTATTAAATTTGATTCAGGATATTAATGATTTTATTCTAGTCTATTTTGAGGTTAACTCCCACCTGCTCTACTGCCACAGGTCAGGAGTTGATACAGGATGCTCCACTGATGGGATCACTGCAGATGCATGTTGATTGGAGTTGGTTTCCTTGCAGGGCACAGCGCAGAACGCAATGCCGGGCACCTCCCTGGAGGGGGTTCGTCCCACCTACATCTACAAGGTGGTCCTACTGGGGAGCACATCAGTGGGAAAGTCAAGCCTGGCCTACCGATACGTGAAAAATGACTTCAAGGAGTCACTGCCAACAGTGGGATGTGAGTGAGTGGCTTCAATAGCTTGATGGCTCTGGACAAGAGACCAGGCCTGACGCCCTTCCTTGCAGCAGGGTGGGATGCAGGAGAACAGGTTGGTGTAACCTGCAGCAGCACAGACCCACTTTTGAACATGATACAGACTTGCCCCAGAGCCAGACGTCCCACATGGCTGTCACCTTCAGATCTCTGCAGCCCGTTTCCCTCAGCATCAAGCTGTAAGCAAAGCCACATCCAACTTGCACAGGTTTGGCTTAGCGCTGCTATTTTAAGGTAGATGAGCAGGAAAAAATGTGAAGCCTGGAATCCAAATTCTACAGCCCCATCTGCCCTTGGCATGCTTGGTCCTGTGCTGCTCTCACAGCTATCCAGACACCCCAGGAGAGTCCACCCTGTATATGAGCTGTCCCAGCCTCAATGTCCCTGTGGAGCAGGGGAGTTTTGGCTAGGGTGCAAGCAGGCAGGAGAGCCCAGGAGAAGGCAGATGGCTGTGGCCGGTCCCCCACTGCACAGCTCTATCCTGGGCTCACAGCAGTGCCTCATTCTTCCAGCCTGCCTGCTGAGATGAGAGAGCAGACCCTCCCATGCCCTGACCAGGCTGCAACCTCCACGCTCTGCGCCACTGGTAAAGGGGAGAACATCTGCCCCTGTGCATCCTGTCCTGACAAGCCATGCTGAACAACCCAACTCTGAAGGCAGGGCACATGCATGCTCATGCTTTGATGAAAACCATGGGGAGAGCTGTGAAAGCCCTGCTCCCTCTAAAACCTCCCCCGGCCAACACATCTGCTGGGGTCAAGCTGCCTCCCCTGTATATTCGCATCAGCACAGCTTCCTACAGCACCAAGACATTATAGATGTTCATTTTGCATGATGTACCTGGGTTTTGCCCTAACAAGGCACAGCAGGCACAGAGGTTGTGGTTCCACCTGGAGCCTGAAGAGTTGATGGAGGAGAGCAAGATGCTCCAGAATTGGTGCCCTTGTCCCTCTGCCTTGGCTCTGGCTGGTCCACAATCAGCCATCTTCTCCCTGGGAGCAGTGATGGAGGCTCCTCTCCAGTGGGAGAACTTTTCTATGGATATTTCTATTCACAGCTCTCACGGGTCTGACCCTCCAGCAAGGTGGAGGTGGCTCTCGATCCGGGGTCTATCAGGCAAAGCTCAGAGCAATCTGACATCAAAACTGGTGTGCATCAAATCTGCTCCCAGGAAGGGCTCCCAGCCTGGCACAGGCTGCCCTGCCTTGTGGCACACCATCCCATCAACAATGCCAGTGCTTCTGAGAAAAGCATCCCAGTTTTGTGCATTAGAGCATCGTTACCGGCCCTTGGGATAGGTTTGACATCATGGCAGCAGATCTGAGTGCCCTGCTCTTGCTGCAAATAAACATGCACCCTGCATCTTGCTTGCAGGCTCCTTCTTCACACAGCTGCTCAATCTGGAGGTAGCCACCATCAGGCTTGAGATCTGGGACACGGCAGGCCAGGAGAAGTACCATAGCGTCTGCCACCTCTACTACCGGGATGCCCATGCTGCTCTCCTCGTTTACGACATCGCTAACAAGGTAAGGCAGAGGATGCTGATCCCATCTGTGCTAAAACTATGCCATGCTGCAGCAGCACTGGCAGGGCAGAGGTGTCCAGATGATGGTGTTTGTCTTTGATAGAGCAGAAAGCTGTACATAAGCACTGCCTGAGAAGGTGAATGTCCCACCTAGGACATGCCAGTGGCTGTCCCTCCCTCTGCAGGACCACACCACCAGCCCAGGGGTGATTTCTTCTGCCATGCAGAAAGGGCATGTCCCATTCAAGGCTGATTTAGCTCTAAAGGTGTTTGAGGACCAGTGACCTGTTTCCCTGAGAGAGAGGGGAGTCAAAGCCTTCCCACCACATCTCTTCCACCCCCTTTGGTTTAGTGCCCGAGATAAGGAGTTATATCAAAACCAATCAGTGGGTGGTTTTGCCTCCATCTCTCCAGGAAACACTCAACAGAGCAAAGCTGTGGCTGAGGGACCTGGAAAAGGAATTCCTTCCTGATGAAATCGTCATTGCTTTGGTGGGCAACAAGACGGACCTTGCTGCTGAGCGAGAAGTTGCCACAGAGGTGAGTGCCTGTGGTGAGCTCCAGGCCCTCTCATCACCCCCTCACCAGCAAGCACTGTGATATGTCCTAGCAAAGCCGAGAATTCAAAAGGCTTTCGGACACCTCCAAAGTCCACGTACAACTATTGACCTGCTGTGAAATGCCACCGGAACTGAACAAACAGCCCCAGAGGGGGCTGGGGGGAGTAACTCTGCTTGTCTCCACCTAGGAGGGGGAAGAGTTTGCAAGGACCAAAGGCCTCCTCTTCATGGAGACATCTGCAAAATCCAACCACCAAATAAATGATATCTTCATGGCCGTAGGTGAGTTGTGTGACAGCTCTAGGTGAGAGCAGAGGCAGGTGAACCACAGGCCCCAAACCTCTGCTTCAATGCTGTAAATGCCTTCCCCCCTGCAAAGCTGACCACCTTCACTGCTCATGATTGCCACCGAGATCTTCTTCCCAGCTGGGCCAGCCTGCACCACACCCAGCAGCTGCAGGGATCACAACAACAGCAGTCCGTGGTTTCTATCAAACACACCACACCCCCTAGGGCAAAAGGATGGACAGATCCATCCCTGGATACTCCAACATCAGAGAAAGATTTCGGGCCCTCTTCCAAAGCCCCAGTTTTCTTCTGCTTTCGCATCTAATCTAGGTGTAGTGGCATCTCTGGTGTAGCTGTTCAGTAGAGATCTAACAGTTGCTGTGGGACAGTACCTGTGGTGATCAGTGGCTCCCCTGGGATGGGATGGGACAGCCTTTGCATCCCACCCCACCGGCAGGAGAACTGTGCCCTTTCTCACCTTGTGTTTCTTCCCAGCCCAAGAGCTTCTGCGGCGGGAGCAAGAGAAGGCATCTGCCCCGTCCCTGCGTGGGAGGACAACAGTTGACCTGGGGGAGAGCAGGGCAAGGACAGGGTGCTGCCAGCTCTGAGGATGGGCAGCTCTGGACCTCAGCAGTGGCTGGACGAGGCCTCCAAGAGAAGCAATGCCAAAGCAGGGGGAATGCAGCAGTGCAGGGGCAGCTCAGCCTGACCACCCTCCCCATCGGAACGAGGGCAGAGCCCATCCTCAGGGTACGGGGTCTCTTCAACCCTCCAGCCCTGGCTCCACCCAAGAGATAAAGGGTTTTCTTCCACCAGCTTTCAGCTTCCAGGGAGGAGCGTGACCCACCAGCACCACTGCCACCATCCCCAACTGGTGACATCCCCCCTGCCCCAGCTGCGTGCCAGCTCCTCTGTGTCCCTTCCCATCTGAAAAGGGAGGGCTTAACTTTCTAGAGTGAAGCAGGTACATCCTGGTGGCTGTACCCCCAGCCTGCAAATAAAGAGAATATTGCCCTTAAGGTGTTATTTTTTATTCCTGACCTGGATGTCAACCTGTAGGTGGGGACCACAGGAAACTTGGAGGCAGCAGGGACCAGGACCAGTGCTTGTCTCGCCCCACTGGCCCCTTACAGGGGCCACAGTCCATGCTTGGGAGAGATCACCAATTTATTGCTGATGTAAGAGCCACGTGTGGGGGTAGAACAGGGCCAAAGCCAATGCCAGGCCTTACGGTAGCCCGTGCCTTGCAGGGCCTCCCCTTTGTGCACTATGAATTACGCTGCGGGAATGCGCCTTGACTGGATGAAAAGAAGGCAGAAGCTGTGCCAGGAGGTGCTGCAGAGCTACCACAGCCTTTGCTGGCTGCTGTGCCGGGACAGCCCTAGCAGGAGCCCATCCTGTGAGGAGGAAAGAGCCGTGTCTTGGATGGGGCAGGATGCTCTCTCCTCCTCCACTCCCAAGCACCCAGGCTGTCTCCGATAGCATGCTGGTGCTCAGCAAACCCAGACCCAGAGGACAAGCTGCCCTTTCCAGGAGAACTGCAGCAGCGCTGCCACAGCTGTGGGCGAAGAGCAGCCCCGCTCAGCCTGTCCACAAGGCAACACAGCCACTGAGTTTTTGGGGTGTTCCCTGACGGCAATGCCAGCCCATGGGACCAGGCTTGGCTGAGCTCAGCCACAAGGCAGCAGACACCACTGAAGATGCTCTCCTTGTAGAAGTGCGGACCACAGCACCCTTCGCCCAGGTTTGGCGGGTCAGGTCAGGCCAGCCCCAACCCCACAGGACCCAACACCAGCCAGTAGCACCCACCTGAGATGCTTCCTGAGGGCTGAGCTGTCCCCGGGGCAGAACAGGATCTCCTTCCCAGCAAGAACTGGGAAGTGCTGCCTCCTCCTGCCTAAATCCCCTTCCTTAGGGCAGCTGGGAGGCAGAGGTGCTAAGTGCCACTCATCCCCCCCATCTCCCCCCTCCCTCCCGAGATTAACCCTTCCCTCCCCAAACAGCCCTGGACCCCCAGTGCTGGGCCAGGAGACACATGCAGGGATGGTGAGGGATGAGGCTCACCCTCCTCTGTGGCCCCTCTCACCCCAAAGTAGAGAGGGGGTAAAATGCTCTGGCTTGGGGACACAGCTCATGAGGGGACGTCTGGGGACGTGCAGTGCAAGGGACAGGGCCCTGTGTGCTCCCTGAGTGTTTCTGACCTGGGCCATGGAAATGGAGTGGCTGTTTCTGACCCCAAACCGTGGAAATGAAGGTGTTGGGGGCACCAATGGGTGTGGACACACTGTGGGGACCCCAGGGGATGCACCTGGGAAAGGGGGACCCTCAAGGGCTTATTTTTAGGGTGTTTTGGGGGATGTGGGGGGATAAAAAAGCCATGTGGTGAAGAAAGGGAAATGCTGCTGCAGTGCACACGCCGCTGGGGCAGGCTGCAAAACCATGGCGAGACCAGAAATTCTGGGGGTTGCACCCCTCCACCCTGTCACCCCCCGCAACCCCCTGCGCTGCATTTTGAAGCAGAGAGGCTGGGACACACGCCGGGGCTGAAGGGAGAG